GTTGGCGTGCACTGCGCACGTCTACACACATGACTATGGCATCGTAGGGGCTTAACTGCCGAGTACCGGGCACGCGTGCGCGTTACTGGGCGTGCGGATGCTGCCTGCGTACTCGCTGGGCCTGCCGGGCGTACCTGTGCGTGCACCATGCGCGGTAGGTATCACGGTCGGCATTTCGCCGGCCGTCCGGCTACTTTTTTCGGCAATCCACTTATGACTGGACATGATTTGACTTAAGTAACATAAATATGCATAAAGTGTTCGGGACTTGCCGGTTAAAAATTAAAGTTACTCGGAGGGAGCTTATATAGCATCTCCGAGGGCATTTTCCTATAAAACTCGAACCGAACAACGAAATTTCGACATGATCTTCTTATAATAAACTGAAATACACAAAAAGATGGTAAACAAGAATGTACCCTTCAGTTTGGACGTGGAATGAACGGTAATGTGCGTGCGTGTGCTAAGCTCAACGCGTGCGTACGTACTTCCTTTGTGCTTCCGCCTTCCTTAGCTATTTTTGTACTATTTTTCCACAATATTTTCCTTACTATTTTTCCCTCTATTTCTTGCTGAAGTTGGCTGAACTTTGTGCGTGGAAAGTGCATGAACTCAATGTCCATACACGGTAATTTAAGGGAGTAAAAAGAAGAGGGTGAACTTTGGTCAATGAGGTGAGTGATGACATGATTGCCTTTGATTACAAGTGTCCAAAGCACGGCTGAAGTGTTTGGCAAATTTTCTTAGTCATTGCCTTAGTTTTGATCATGAACTTAGTTCCGAACATATTTAACTGTCAATAATTGATCCCGATTAAAAATGTCCGTTTATATAATAAGCGGTTTGGAAATTAATTATCGAATTTGACTCGGTTAATAATTAACCGGATAAACTTTTCGACTTACCGTCGAACTTATTTGCTGAAAATGAACGGAACTAATAAAAGGTAATACATCATTTATATTAACAAGAAGTTGGTTTATTACAATCTACCCTCCTTAAAATATTTTCGTCCTCGGAAATATTAAACATAACATATTTACATGAAAATATACATATCAAAACTAAAAGTCGGGAAAACGAGCGCGAATGTCAGCCTCCTGCTCCCAAGTGGCTCTGTGGTGATCCCACTGAATACGAACGAGGGGAACATTACGCTTCCGGAGCCGTCGAACCTGTCGGTCCAAGACAGCTACCTGTCGCTCCTCGTAAGATAAGTCTGGATGAATCTCAATATCAGTATGAGGAATGACATGATCGGGGTCGCACACGTACTTGCGCAACATAGATACATGAAAGACATTGTGAACACTGGATAGCTCGGGAGATAAGGCTAAACGATACGCAACATCGCCCACTCGCTCGAGTACTTCGAATGGGCCAATGAACCGAGGGCGCAACTTCCCTCTCTTCCCGAATCGAATAACTCCGCGAAATGGACTAACTCTGAGAAAAGCGTGCTCGCCAACCTCGAACTGAATATCTCGTCGATGATGATCGGCGGTTGATTTCATTCTGCTCTGAGCTGTTCTGAGTCTCTGCCGGATCAACTCGACTTGCTCAGTTGTCTCCTCGATCAGCTTCGGACCGAGTACTCGACGTTCTCCGACGTCGTCCCAATAAAGAGGGGAACGACATTTACGATGGTATAGTGCCTCATAAGGAGCCATCTGAATAGAAGAATGATAACTGTTGTTGTACGCGAACTCTACGAACGGCAACAACGACTCCCATTTAGCACCCCTGTCAACATTCAAAGCGCGTAACATATCCTCTAACGTCTGTATAGTCCGCTCTGTCTGTCCGTCAGTCTCGGGATGGTAGGCTGAACTGAAGGCTAGCTTCTTACCCATTGCCTCATGTAAACTCTTCCAGAATCTACTGGTGAATCTGGGGTCTCTGTCTGACACAACAGTAACAGGTACTCCATGGAGTCGAACGATCCCACGGACATAAATCTCAGCCAACCGATCCAAAGACATACTCATCGATACTGGCAAGAAATGAGCAACCTTAGTCAATCTATCGACCACGACCCAGATAGCGTCGTGATGTTCATATGACCTCGGTAACCCCGTGACAAAATCCATCGCAACCTCCTCCCACTTCCACCTCGGAATCGGTAGTGGTCGTAGAAGGCCTATGGGACTCTTATGCTCGGTTGTAACTTGCTGACAGGTTAAACATCTTCTTACAAAGTCGGCCACGTCTTTCTTCAATACTCTCCACCAAAACGACCCTTTGAGGTCATGGTACATCTTTGTGCTTCCTGGATGGGCTAGATAGGGTGCGGTATGAGCCTCAGATAGAATCTCCTTTCTCAATGCTTCGACTTTAGGCACCACAATCCTGCCACGAAACTCCAAGGCCCCATTAGTGCCTCGGTGAAAACCCTCGACGCCTCCGGCACGAACCTTGGCATCAATCGTACGAATAAACTCATCTGAAGCCTGCTCTTGTCGGATTCTCTCCCTCAGCGTCGGCTGAACCTGCATGGAATTCACACTCCCCAAACTGGCTGTAGGAAGTGCATCAACCAGCTGGATCTGCATTCGGGCGAACTCATGAATCAACTGACTCTGCTGAGTAACAACGTATGTCAAGTCACCCTTCACCTTGCGGCTTAGGGCATCAGCAACAACATTCGCCTTTCCTGGATGATACTGGATCGTACAATCATAATCTTTTTTGAGCTCTAACCAACGGCGCTGTCTCATGTTGAGCTCCTTCTGAGTAAAGATATACTGCAAGCTCTTATGATCAGTAAAGATTTCGCATTGACCGCCGTATAGATAGTGTCGCCAAATCTTGAGGGCATGAACAACTGCACCTAATTCCAAGTCGTGCGTCGGATAGTTCTGTTCATGTATTTTAAGCTGGCGTGACGCATAAGCAACGACCTGGCCATCTTGCATAAGTACACATCCCAAACCTGGCCTTGAAGCATCACTATAAATGGTGAAGCTCCGAGAAGGATCTGGAATAGTCAACACCGGTGCCGTCGTAAGCCTCCTTTTCATCTCCTGAAAACTTTACTCACAACGGTCTGTCCACTCGAACTTTACAGATTTCCTTGTCAGCTGAGACAAAGGGGGTGCAATCTTCGAAAACCCCTCAATAAATCTGCGATAATATCCTGCAAGGCCGAGAAAACTACGAACCTCGGATGGATTCTTTGGTGCTGACCAATTCTGGACTGCAGCAATTTTGGAGGGATCAACTTCAATACCTGCTGAAGTAATAATGTGGCCAAGAAAAGCCACTCGCTGAAGCCAAAATTCGCACTTGGAGAACATTGCATATAACTTCTCGCGTCTAAGGGTCGAAAGAACGACCCTCAGGTGTTCCTCGTGCTCTTCCTGGCTCTTGGAATAAATAAGAATATCATCGATAAAGACAATAACGAACTGGTCAAGAAAAGGATGAAATACACGGTTCATCAAGTCCATGAATACTGTCGGGACATTACTGAGGCCAACCGACATAACCACGAACTCGAAGTGACCGTATCTCGTACGAAAAGCTGCCTTGGGTATATCTGACTCCTTGATTTTCAGTTGATGGTAGCCTGAACGCAAATCGATCTTAGAAAACACGCAGGCACCCCTCAACTGATCAAATAAATCATCAATCCTGGGAAGCGGATATTTATTCTTGATCGTCAACCGGTTAAGATCCCGGTAGTCGATACACATACGCATGGATCCATCCTTCTTCTTGACAAAAAGAAATGGTGCTCCCCAAGGAGAAACGCTCGGTCGTATAAAACCGAGATTCAACAACTCTTGGATTTGGGTCTTTAATTCCTGCAATTCTTTAGGCGCCATTCTGTATGGTGCCTTTGAAACGGGTCCGGCTCCAGGGATAAGATCAATAGAAAATTCCACATGTCGGCTAGGTGGACCTCCGGGAAGCTGGTCTGGAAAAACGTCCATGAACTCACGAACAATAGGAATATCATGAGGTGAACGTGCCTTTGACTCATCTCCAACGAGGCTCACAAGATAACCCTGACAATCACCCCGTCGAAGAATCTTTCTGGCTTTTGCCATAGAAATAACATGTGGCAGAGTACGAGTCCTGGAGCCGTAATAAGTGATCTGATCATCTCCCGGAAGATAAAGAGTAATCTCCCGGTCGTAACATCGAATATCTACGTGAAATCGAGTTAGCCAATCCATACCAAGTATGAGGTCAAAATCACTCATCTCGATAACATAAGTATCAGTAATCAGAATACGGCCGCCGATGGAAAGGCTGAGATCGGTGGCTCTAGCGTCAGTCACTATCTTTCTTCCCAAGGCTAAACTCACCTCGAGAGGATCGACAGCGGTAGTGGAACGAACCCCAATAGCTTCGAGACATCGACGTGATATAAAAGAATGGGTCGCTCCGGTATCAAATAAGGCATAGACAGGCACATCATTAAGAATAATCATCCCGGACATGGTACCTGGGTGCTGGTCGGCCTCCCTCTGATCAACTGAAAAGACGCGAGCCTGCTGTCTGCCGCGTTGCTGTTGCTGTGGTCGTGGTGGTTGCCGCCTGGGCTGTTGTTGAAGTTGCTGTGGCGGTTGACGTTGTTGCGGTTGTTGTTGTAGTCGTTCTGGACAGTTGTTGCTGAAGTGACCTGGCTGGCGGCAAAAGAAACAAACATTCTGGCCCACGAGGCATTCTCCACGGTGGGGTTTCCCGCAGGTTGGGCATTCTGGATATTGTCTGGGACGGGTCCTCCGGTCATCAAGAGTGTTTCTGTACTTCCTCTTCTTCTGGTTCTTTGACGGTTGGGCAACTTTGGGCTGGGCTGGTGGCTGAGCAACTGGCTGGGCTGGTGTCTGGACGGCTTCATGTCAGATACTGGCCTCGACTTCTTGGGCAATGGCAACTGCGCGGGCGTAGGTCTGAAACCCGTGGCCTACGATGTTGTGGCGGACTGCTGGGCAAAGTCCGTCGGTGAAACGGTGGGCTCTCTTTGCCTCTGTACTTACAAGATCAGGTACAAAAGCTCCGAGACGGGTGAACTCTCTTTTGTACTCGTCGACAGTACGAGTACCCTGAGTGAGTGCCAAGAACTGGCGCTCCATGTCTGCTCGGTAATACGAGGGATAATACTTTTCTCGGATCAACTCCTTGAACTGGTCCCATGTACAACCGTCTTTTTCACCGGGACGCATACTCCAATAGGTTTGCCACCAGAGTCTGGCATCACCGATCAGCTGGATCTGGGCACATAACATGCGATAACGATCGGGGCAGTTCATGGCCTCGAAAATAATCTCGAGACCCTGAACCCATTCATCTACTACACGAGGATCTCCTTGGCCGGAAAACTTTTCTGGATGGTAGTCGCGGAACAAAGCGACCACTGTGGCCTGTGGGAGTTCCTGGTGATCTGGCTCTCTACGAGGAGGCATCTGAACATTGAAATATTTAACATGATTAAATAACATAAAAGATTAACGGACTGATTACTTAAATACACAGATCTCTTGACGAGTCGCTAAATAACCCGAGAATACTAAAGTCGAACTTATCAAATGACTGGGACAATTAACTAAGTTCTGGAAATACTCGAGCATCTTACTGGTTTCTAGGGTCAAATATCTTATACCCTTTTACTGAGCATAGACTTAAGTATTCATTTAAATATATAAACTATAACTCAGCACTTACCTGATAGTCGGCGAGGCGTGAGCGTAGCGTGGTCGGGTCTTTTCTGAAAATTCCTGACTTTAAAAGTATTCAGATACACGAAAATGTGTTCTGATACCAATTTGTAACACCCCGCTAGCTTACTAAAATCAGAGTGCAATTTTCGCAAATTCTATTCTAAAGTTTACATTTTATTTTGCGAAACATACCTCGGGATGCTACATAAAATATTTCTTTTCTAAAAATCCGTTAACTATAAACTTATCTATGAAAAACGGATTATCATTATAAAACAAGCGTGTGATACTGTATAAAACTAGACCCGAAAGCTCGGATCGTCGTCTGAAAATTTACACGCTAGTTTGAAAGTCTGAAAACGTCAGCGGAAGTAAGACGTGGCAAATATATACATATCAACAGTCTGCAAAAATATATACATATTTACATGTACTGGACCGGCGACCACCAGCTCCACTCACTCTTCCGGACCGACCCTGTCTCCTGAAAAAGAATCATAATAGTGGGAGCGTGAGTACTATAAACACCGTACTCCGCAGAAACTCATACTAAAGTAAACATTTACAATAATTGCATCATCATGATCAAATGCATGCATATCTGCCTCTATCTGTAACTGCTCGTCAACAGTATAAACTGGACGTAAACTGTGTCTGCCGACTGTAATAATACTAGCCGGAACCATGTGCACACCCTAGTGGTCAGATCTAGCCACTAGAGCTCGGAGTGGAATTACGCAAACTGGCCACCACTCTAAGCAGAACTAATATATACATACCTCGCATGATAGCTGTAATTATACGTAATGTAATACTCAGTCTGAGTCCCCACCTGTACTGATAATGTAAGTGCTGCTGCTGATCACTCTGTAAAAATTATATAAATAAACAAATACTAAGTACTATGCTCAGACTGATTGAGAATAACTGTAAAGATGCTCGACTTGATCTAAATATTTAACTAGAATATTCTCGGGACTTAACTTGACTGATAAGAAAAACCAGACTGAACTGATACCGGTGTTGTAACACCCCTCCTTATCGTTAAATCAGAGTAGCGCAAATTTCGCAAAGTTATTTAAAATAGAATCTTTTTACTTTGCGAAAACTGATTCGGGGTGCTACCTTTAAAAACGTTACTTAACTTGGAAAACCGTTATTTTGATTTTAATAAAATCGTACGGTTACTGAAATCATAAGTTCTCAAAAGTTCGTCAAAAGATAAGTTCGTCAAAATGAGTACGTCAAAAGTCATCAAAAATATCGTCACAAGTCATCAAAATATCATAAGCGGAAGCGTAAGTCGTCATAATAATTATACAGTCCAAAATATAAATATCCTGAAGTCCCCGTCACGTCACGCTCATGCTCCCGGCCCGACATCCTGACCTAAAAAACATGATAAAACTGGGGAGTGAGCACTATGGCACTGTGCTCCCTGGAAACTCATACTAATGTAAAACATCAAAAATAATAACAACATCATGATATCAGTATATAACCTCAACCTCAAGCCGGTAAAAACTGAAATCGTCATGCAACCGTGACCCTGAAATCGTCACGCAACCGTGACCCTGACCGTTACCTCATCTGACGGCAAAGTCGGACACCATGTGCACACTCTAGTGGGCAGACTAGGGCCACTAGAAC